ACCCTATGTTCATTATCCCATGCGTGTTTACATATTCGAGATCTATCAAATTCTTTATTTTTAATATAAGATTGATGTTGCTTATTCTAAAATTTAATGGCCTTGATGTTTTACCTAAATAAAACTGAACGCATTCACAAGGTGTTTTATAAATGGAATTCTTTGTCCTATCTTGTTCATTGTTAGGTTTGGTTTTGGACAAAATAGATCTCAACGTGTTTATTGTTTTGAATATTGTTGAAATGTTGAATTTATTTCCTATCTTTTAAGTTTTTCTGATAATCCTTTTATAAAAAGGATTTTGTGCTTTTCTGCAAGAGATGTCACTACAACGTTTGAGCACAGGATCATCACCTTTGAATCAAACAAAACAGCAGGTCACGAAATAGGGAATGAACATAAGGTGAAATAAAGGATTTTATTTTCAAGGCTGCCAAATGTTGCTGATATAGAACATCACACAATTTAAACTTGTGTTTGTAAGATTTAGTATACGGATAGCAGAAATGCGACAAGATTGTCAGAATCGCCTCAGTTTGGAGAGTCAATCCGGAGGACAGTGTACAGACAACATGTTAAAATTAAAAAAGTCTGGAAATAGAAGTGTTTCATATAAAATTATTAGTATTTTAATAACACTTGTCGATAGTTATATATTTTGACAGTTTATACTATATTAAAAGAGAATAAATTCTTATATTTTCTATTGCCATCTGTCGACATTTCGTTAAAATTTTGCTCCGACTGTATTTATATAGAAAAGCCGTCAATGCACATGTTTTTTTTCCAGCGCCAGATGGCGCAGGCTGTAAATCTGGAAATTAAATATTTTGATTAAGAATCTTTAATTTATTTATATTATATTCTGTTTACATAAATAAATTTTAAGTATAATTTAAAAAATTTGAAATACAATTTTTGATTTATTGACTTTCAATAATATTGATATTGAGAGAGTGGTTTGGCTGTACCACTAACGAATTATTCAAAACGGCAGTAAATAAAATTAGAATCGCCATAATGATATCCAATCTAAGATAGGAGAGGTACTCAAAGAAGAAGATCTGTTTGCTTACATGTTGAAATTCTGGGAGCTGACTACCTATTCTAAGGAAGGGTGATATTAATTTAAAAGACTCAATTTAATTAACTCATTTTCTATTAGAGTGTGTGGAATAGAAGGGCAACCATTCGATAGTAACAGTCTTTTGTTCGGAGTTATTAATCTTCGTGCTTTTAGATTTTCGCCTTTTATTGTTATTTCTACTGTATGAGGTTTTGTTTTGAGATTGTTGATCGTCAGTCATGGCTGTTGACAAATTTTTGAGGTCGGATCTGACATTTGATAAACTCTTCTTCACCCTTAATTTATCCATTGTTGGATATATGCCTCCTCCAATTGCTTCCACGCTTCCCTATCTTTTGCAATGTCGTTTTTTTTCCCATGATATCTGAGGCTTATATTTAACATGGCCCGTTGAATTCCTCTTAATTGTTCTGCCATTTTTCTTGTTATTGCCATAGTTTGCAATCCATAAGTTGCAACTGTATACAAGTATCAAAGGTTTTTGGTTTTAAGTGTATTGGAATTTTTCTGTCTTTTAAAATGAAGCTCAACTTACCAAAAGCACCCCGTGACAATTGTGTCGGTTTGATTTTCCTTTTCATTTTAAAATGCATGTCCTAGATATATATATATATATATATATATATATATATATATATATATATATATATAATATATATATATATATATATATATATATATATATATATATATATTCTACCTTTTCTATACTGATGTTATCTTTCGTGATTTTTTCTAAGCTGTTGCTTAATATCATTGTTTTATCGAGATTCATTTTTAATCATATTTGATTCGATTTGTGATTTAAATCTTGTAGCATTGATTTTAATTCATGGATATATGTGCTTATTATTTTAGTACTATGTCGTCTGCGAAATGTAAATGGTTAAGATATACTTCATCTATTTTTAATCCCTTTTCGGCCCAATTTACATTTTCTAATGCCAAAGTAAATAACTTGGCTGAGATGGTGTCTCCTGTCTCACACGTTTGCCAAGGTCTATATTCATAGTTTCCAGATCATCATCTATTTTTACGTGAAAAGTAGCATCATCGTATATATTCTTAAGGAGGGCAGTATATCTTGAATCTACTATGGCGTCGTCCAATGTTGTTAAGAAAGCCCATTTCTCGATACTGTCGAATGCTTTGTGATAATCGACAAATGCCAGATGTAATGGTATGTTGTACTCTATTGTTTTTTCAATAACTGTCCGGATTATTTGCAAGTGATCGATAGTGCTAAAACCATCACGAAAGCCTGCTTGCTCCACGGGTTGGTATGTATCTAGCTTAGCTGTCAATCTATTTGCTATTATTAGGGTTGGTAGTTTGTAAAGGTGTGACAATAAGCTTATTGGTCGGTAGTTTTCTATATTTGCGGCGTCTTTTTTTATGGAGTAGAATGACTTTCGCAGTTTTCCATGCTTTTGGTATTTGTCCTTCCAATAGACATTTATTCAGTAATGCTCTCAATGCCTCTTCTAATGTAGTACTAAATAAACTCAGTAGTACTTAATTAAACCAGTTATAGAACCAGAAATGATTCTGATAACAGGCTTTTCGGACGCTTTTTAACCTTACAAACAATATGCTTTGAAATATTTTAGATATGTAAAATAAGAATAACTCAACACACAATTTGTATTACCATGTTCAGCTTGGACATCTTTTATGTTTTACGACTGTTTGATTATACAATATTTCTGTTTCTGTTCAATTGTTTCATGTAGTTCAATAAGTTTCTGTATCGTTAAACGCTTTTTTGCAGTCAAGGGAACCAGAATAAGATAAAAAAAAACAAACAAAATACTATCTATTGCATTTATTGAAGCACATAACAGTTTACTGAAAATGTATAAACTTACCCAAAGTATAAATGCTTAATATAATACTATTTTTATGGGAACTACACTTTTAGTGTACCTATACTATGTTGTAAATGGCACTTAGTTTGGTATAGCGTAGAGCCTGATTATTAAACGTTAAATTAATAATGTTAGATAGTAAAATGATGACTTTAGTTGCTATAGCACAAATTTGGATCTGCACAGCTACAGGAAAGTATATTTTGAAAATTTTATTCTTAATCAAGCAACTTACTCATAGCAAAGTTTATTTACATCAAAATGGGTTTATACCTCCCTTTTTAAGAAAAAGTCTAGATCTCGATAAAAAGTTTCGATCAAATTAGGACATAATATAAGACATTAGAACAACTGTAGAAGGAATCATCTCAGAAACATTTCAAGTGAAAAAAGATTGTAACAGGGAGTATTTTCAATTTATTATTGCATGCAAAATAAATAAATGCATCAGGATGCAAAGAACGATCTACGATAAAATAAGTTGAGCTACAGCATTGACTAAATCAATGATATAGCTCTGATAACAAGAACGAAAAGCGGCTTATTGAGAATATTCAAACTAATTGATTATTACGTACAGATATTTTAAACTCTAAACATGCAAAGATAGAGATAGCGGACGCAGAGAAGTGAAATAATGCAAATATATAGTTGCAACTGGTCAATTAGTTAATAGAGCAAATCAAACTGACGAAATTACCAGAAAAATAAGGTTAGCGTAGGCAGGATTTGGAAAACTGAATAAGAACTAAAATAGAACAATATTTGAAAACCAGAATTTGGTGCCTCCTCCCTATACTCACGTATGGTTGACAAAAGACACTGGATTGATTTGGGGGAGGTATATGTCCAAAGTTGGATTACTTAAGGCTGAAGGAGAAGAATTATGCATTGTTTTTTCCAAATATTGTTTGTTATGTTTGTTATTTAACAACATCGGAAACACCGTTCTTTGATGATGAGAAAGTTGAAAAATTAATTATTTTAAACATTTACAGTTTGATACGATTTGTACTATACATTCAAAATATTGACTCCATACAGTACGCAGATCCATTGCAATAATCAAGAAAAATAAATGCGAATGGAATAATTTTGTGACGCTGCAAGAGAATTTGTACAAAAAAAGATATTAAATAATATCGATTGCACCAAACCCCCAGAAAAACTTAATTCAGTATTTTATACTTAATTTGTGGAGACTAGTTACTAAATGTATTTTTTCAACAAATTTCGATTTCATCAAATTTTAAAACATAACATTTGCAAAACACAAATTTGGAATGCATGTTGTCCAGTCCAAGGTGTAATTAATTTAAAGCATTTTCCATAGCTCCCAACGCTGACGTCATACAACTCAAGTTGTCATATGTATAAAGATGAAACATGCATTTTAAGATTGATTAAATTAAATACACACTAAAATTTTGTAAAAATCTAATTTGTACTTTGAAATATTTTAAAATTTATAGATTAAATATTTTTCACTATTATGACAGTAGAAATTGGTTTTCCTGTGGCAATAGTACCTTAAATTAATGTGCTGTGCGCCTTGTCAAATCTAAAGAGTCGTTAAGTTTTTATAATAGCAAAGCTATGTTTAAAAGAACGAAATTAAGTTGCACTACTGTATAGGTATCTACAATCATCTGAGTAGGACAGAAGTTGTAGCACGTTGTAGCAAGTTTGTATTATTTAAATATCTGTACCCCGGAGTCAAAATTGGTCAAATCCAAAAATTAAGAAAATGTACTTTTATGGTGGGTAAAAACCTTGAAAACGAGTCTTCAGAATAGTAATGTTCAATATCGGGCCGAACCCATATTAACGGTTACAAATTCCCTATAAAAAATTATCTTCATTTACACCAAAAAGACTAACTGGAGTTTCAGTTAATTTTAGTGCAAGTATGGGAAAAGGAAATAATGCCATCGGAGTGAAAAACAAAGTGACAAACTGAAGTTTGACAAATAGCCTTACTAGACACGGTATACAAAATCTTGGCAAGAATATTGAGAAATAAACTAAATTGCTACACGGAAAGAATCCTGCATGAATATCAGGCCGGCTTTAGAAAGAACAGATCTACCGTAGACCAAATCTTCTCATTAAAGGAGATACAAACGACTTGTTATGAAGGCAAAGTTCCCCTGCATGTTTTGTTTGTGGACTTTAGACAGGCATATGATGAGTCGATAGAGTCAAAATGTATCGAGCAATGGAACATTTGGGTATACCAAAGAAACTGATCCGGCTAGTAAAAATGACATTAAATAACTCTTAAGTGTGAAATTGCTTGGCAGGGTCACATATCAGATTGATTTATGGGATCGGGATGGGATGGAAAAGAGAAATGGGAGCTCGAAGCCAGAATAGCAAAAGGGAATAAAAAATTAGGTAGTTTAAGAGCCCTACTGAACTCAAAATACGTTTCTAGACAAGGTAAACTCAGAATATATAAAACAGTAATTCGAACCACAGTAACATATGCCGGTGAGACATGGACATTAAATAAGAAGGAAGAGGATACTCTGGAAAGATGAGAAAGGAAAATATTGAGACGCATATTCGGAGGACGGAAGAGAGAAGATGGTTGGGAGAAAAGAACCAACAATGAATTAATGGCTTTATACAAAGAATCTACCATTACCTAGTTCGTCAAGGCACAAAGAATCAGATGATTGGAACATGTGGAAATAATGGCAGCAAACATAATGCCTAAACTAGAAATAACCAGAAAATTAATCGACCCCAAAAGAAGAGGTAGACCCCGAACGAGGTGGAGGAAGACCTTAAACACATGAAGGTGAGGGACTGGAAAAGCACAAAATAGAAGTGAATGGAGAAATATTGTACTCCAGGTCCTTCAGAGTAGTTAAGAATGTTGTATATAGGCCCGTTGTGCGTAAAAACACCTTGACAGAGGTCCTTGAAGAAGATGAACCTTGCTGCAATCATGATCAAAACGACAAAAGTGTACGAGTTTGATATTTATGAAATGTTGATTTTGTTTTAATTCAATAAATTTTCAATAAACTGGTCAAATCCAGTTTATTAGTAGCATTTTCTGTGCATTAAAGTATTCAAACGATAAAATCGATGTTCTTTAATAAATTACACTCATATATGAGTAAGAAAATAATAATGTATCACGAAATGCCAGTCTACTGTGTTTGTCACATATACGTGATTATCTCCATTGTTGTAAAAATGGAGTTGACCAATTTTTGATTCCAGGGTACAGATATTACAAACGATAATTTTATACCGCAAAAACAGACACGTTTTTTGGTATTTTTACAATTAGTGCTTATCATAAATCCTCTTAAATAAATAAATATTATTGACTATTGAAAATATTTGACCAGTAACCCCCGTAACTTCAGTACTTGATGCATTCCTCGGCAGATGACATCAGTGTCGGGTCCTTCAGGAAAATGGTATATAAATATAAATGAAAAAATATAGTAAAATAAATCGAATATAAGAAATAAATAAAAAGTTGATAATATATTAAACCTTAGAAACCTCCTTTATCTTTTTGATTAAAAAGTATATATTAGTAAATAAAACTAAATAAAACGCAATTTGAGTAGATCTTTCACCTTTCTATCGACGTCAACATGTTTTTTTACTTTGATATTTGTTAGGTCAGAGCAAATTCTTTCAATTTATATGCTATAAAAGATCATGCACTTATAAAGAAAGAAAAACTACACAATAGTGTAGATAAACTGAAATGGTAACCTGATTTCTTTAGTAAGGTGACGACAAATGGTGAAATCTAAACGTGTGTAAAATTAATCAACATATTACTGTCTGGCGCTGTCCATATTGGGTAAATAGTCAAGGGCCATCAAACAAGCGAATACTGTCATTACCATCTTAGGTTTAACTTCTGTAATGTCTTCAGGAAGAGCATATACTCTTGCTCCAGCTTTACGGGACATGGAGATGGCGTATTTAGCATTCGCCAGTTTTTCCTACAAATAAAATAATTTTTAAATTAAATGTTTAATTTATTTAAATATTTATAGAAATAGAAATATGCTTTATTGTCACTGAAAATTATTGAATAATTTTATGGACAAAGCTAAAAAATAAATCAGTCAAATAGTAGAAAAAGTATAAAACAAAAATAAATATAATAAAAAAACAGAACAATTCAATTTTAAATTAGTAAAAATTATTGTATAACTTATATAATTTATACAGACAACAACAAATGAAACAAATTGTAGCCACTGCTTGAGACACCCAAATTTAATTATAAACAATACCAATTTTGTTTCTTTGTTATACATTAAGAAACTCGTCAACTGAATAATATGATCTTTCAGACAGATAGATTTTTGTCATCTTACGAAACTTAATGAAAGATATTGCGGATTTAATTTCTCTTGGAAGGTGATTATAAAGTTTTTTTGAACTATATAGAATAGAATTCTTTACTAGCTGAGTGGACGGGATCGGTAAATAAACGTTACAATCCGAATTTCCAATGGAGCAGCCATGATCAGTCTATCGGGAAAACTGTTTAGATGCTTGCGAATCAAACAAACCGTTTCCAAAATAAATAAAGAGGGAAGCGTCAAAATTCCGTGATTTTTGAAGTAGGTCTTGCAATGAGTTGTTTGATTGAGACCAAATAGATAACGAATTGCTCTTTTTTGCAACTTAAAAATAGTATCAAATTGGGCCGCTGTACTTGAACCCCAAAATGGAAGCCCATATCGAAGATGGGACTCGAACAATGAGAAATATGCCATTTTGACAGAAGATAAATTTAGTTCCTTCGAAACACATCTTATTGCAAAGCAAGCTGAGGCTAGTTTCTTCTTTAAAGAGTCAGTATGCAAGGACCATGTAAGATCACTGTCGATAAGAATACCTAACAATTTTACGGAAATAACGATACTGATTTGGCTCTCATTCAAAAGCAAGGGTTGAATGACTCCTTTATAAGATAATGCTACTGTCTTATCCACGTTAAAGCTAAGTAAGTTGGAGTCTGACCAAGCCTTGATTATAAGCAGATTATCAGCGGTTATAATTAAATGAAGCGTTGAAATATTAGAGTTGCTCCAAGTAATACTGGTATCATCAGCAAATAGAAAAATTTTCCCTTTAATTTTCAAGTAAGTGATGTCATTAATGAAAAGTAAAAAAAGAATGCTGAAGAATACTGAACCTTGCGGTACTCCACACTCAATATCTTTACAACTAGAGTCGGTGTCTTTTATTCTAACCAATTGTTTCCTACCTACCACGTAAGTTTTGAACCAATTCAAAGACACATCCCGAATTCCATAGAAAGTTAATTTTTTTAATAGAATGTCGTGATTTACGCAGTCAAAGGCTTTGGAATAGTCGCAGAAAACGGTGGTGGAGAAGAGGTTACTATTTAGCGATAGATATACCTCATGTAACACAGAAAACATGGCATCACTAGTAAATTTATTAGACAAAAAGCCGAACTGATTTTGCGATAAAATATTATGTTTAAGGAGAAAGGGCATAAGTCAAACTTTTATAAGCCTTCAATAATTTTTGATAGTGCTGGTAACAAGGCAATAGGTCTATAGTTACAGGCATCAGATTTTTCTCCACCTTTATGAAGAGGAATGACGATGGTAGTCTTTAGGCAGTTGGGGAATGTACTTTTTTCAAGGGAATCATTTACTAGCGAGACCGTGAGCTCCAAAACATTATGCGGAAGATTTGAGAAAATAGATAATCCATCTGTACTACAGGACGATTTGCTTTTTATACTACGAATTGTTCGAATGAGTTCAGTCTTATCAACTAGTCTTAAAAAGAAGATATCAGCAATGTTTTTTTAATTAGGGAGATAGGAAACTGGATCTTGTTGTGGCGAAATAGTTGAGGTTACATTTTTACTCACATTAACAAAGTTCAAAGGATTACAACATTGAAATGGATCTGGGATCATGCTGCCAGATTAAAAGATGGAAGGTGGACGAAGAAAATTAAGGAATGGAGACACGATGCTTATCATAATCGAGGACATCTTCCAACAAGGTGGTCAGATGGCATCAAGCGCATTCAGCACAACTGGATTCAGGGTGCTCAAGATAGAATGCATTGAAATTATTTACGGGAGGCCGATGTCAAGCAGTGGATTCAAAACGGCTGATGATGAGAGTGTGGCATATGAGGATCAAGTTATCAATGTCATATCGCTTATGATAATTTTGTTGTTTACAAAGTATTTTGACATTAGTAAAATCGATACTCTGTTTGGTTGAGATGGCATGTTGTGCAAGGGCACAACAGGGTTTAGAAATCCCAATATCGTTTTTATGGGACGTTAGTCGTTCTTGAAAAGAGCGGCTGCTCTGACCATATATGACACTTACAAATTTTTATTTAATTTCTTACAAGAGGCTAAATCTTGTTGCGTTCAGTTGCGTTAGCAATTCATCGGTACTCTAGATTTTGGTAGTTTTTTTGGCGAATACCTTACTATTAAAAAAAAATACATACCTCTTCAGTCGTTCCCTGCTTAACCAAATCATAGTTGATAGCACCAGGTTTAATAGCATCGATGAGGTCAATTACAACTTTCCCATCAGATATGGAAGAATCTAGAAAATTACGAATGGAAGACTTCTTTCCAGCACCGCTTAGTTTATTGTTAACCCAATTTACAATTTCTTTTTCTACGATGGGACTACCAGAATCTGCTAATTGGGAGAGAATTGACAATGTGTAAGCTCTCATCAATTGCCATATTAAGGCTAAAGTCAATGTAATGTTGCCTTCATTAATATCTTGTCCTCCAATACCGACAAGAGAGAATTTAATCTCCTTGCCAAGTTCGACGGCAATAGTTGCAGTTTTCTAATTTCTCCATGAACTTCTTTCTCTCATTAGTGAACTTGCGATGCACTCTGTTCCATTTCACGGTTCCAGGTTTAATTATATCATACAATTGGAAGACGATTAATCCATCAGCAAGATCTGAATATAGCCAGTTGACGTGAGGTGATACTCCCATGGAATTTATCCAGTTCCTATAAGCTACAAAAATAATGCAATTAATACATTTTTATTAACAGTTAGAACGAGTACATTATTTAAAATATCATCACAATTAATTATTTTTATTGACCAAAAATTTTTATTAACAAATCTTACAAATGAATAGAGATCAGAATTTAACAAAGAAGAAAATTGCACGTAGTGTATGATAATTTGTGTGACCAAATCCAATTCAATTGAATTCGGGACAATGCTAAAAAAAATACCTGAAATCCGGGACTTTTCAATGAAAATCAGGGCCATTTTTTATTTTTTTTTTTAAACAAGGACTGTAATATGTACCATTATTTTATTAATTATTTAACATTTTTATGTTGACAATGATATTTTTGATGGGATTAAGCCATAATTGATTATAATAATTAAATTTAATTTTTGTTATTTTTGACATGTTGGACATTAGATTAACATAAGTTACAACCAATTGTGGCATAATCCCATAAAAAATATAATTGTTAAATATGCCACAAGAAAACTCTTTTTACTCTTTTAAAAACTTATGAAAATCAACACATTCATATTTCCAATTAAATTTAACGAACAAAATATTTTTAAGGTGTCAATGCCAAGTTGCGATTTTTCGACTGTACATATTATTGTAATCATTGAAAAAAACGCGATCGACGTTAGCAGAAGTAGCTGGTAAACAAAAGATGAATTCAGTAACTCGTGCAACGCCTTTGTACGGAGCGTGATTCTTATCGAAGTGTTGGAAGCATTCAACCTAGCGTTGATGTGGGATGTGGTTTTGTGTGATTTTCGTTCCAAGCTGTAATTTTATCTTCTTCTTAGAGTGCCGTCTCCCTACGGAGGTTGACAATCATAATGGCTATTTTTATTTTTGAACTTACTGCTCAAAACAAATCAATCTTCAACCATGAGTTCTGCCTTCGGCCAACAGATCTTCTTCCTTAAAGAAGATTTGTTGGCCGATCCTGTATTAAGAGTATCAAAATTTCATATTTTGGTCCCCTCATCACTGGTCTACGTATTCCAATTTTCTGGTTTGTATATGTGATGAGTTTGTTTCTTTGCCAACCCTCTCCAGTACTTCTTTATTTGTATCAGATAAAAAAAAAATACTTAGATCCGCAACAAAACAAAAGTGACCGATGTATTAACGCAGATAACAACGCAAGTGAAGTTCGCTGGACATACCATAAGACAGAAAGACGACAGATGAATAAGATGATATACACTGGAGATCATGTAGTTACAAATGAAAAAGAGGAAGGCCACAAATGAATGGTCAGATGACTTAAAGAAACACGCAGGCCCGAAGTGGATAAAAACTGCCTACAATAGAGAGACGTGAGTTATAGTCATTGACCCCATAAGCCAATACCCTAAATTCCATGCGTCAGCACCTGAACTATGATCGACCTGAATATAAAAGTGCAAAAATTCAACTTGTAAATTATTGTTTTATTTATAATGTGTAATGTATTTCATTTTATTAATTATAATTCAGTCTGATTTGAATCTTCGTACAGTGAAGTCCGATTTTAATATTGTAACTTTTAAGAACGTAATAAAGTTCTCGCATTTGAAAATTAAATAATTATTTTTTTTTATTCTCTCTCCTGTTTCTGACAAAGAATGTAGAGCGTAGAAACCATTTTAATTAATTTAAACTGTTTGTCCTGTGTTTAGTGTAGTGTTTTTGTACAATTTTATGTTACCATTCATGTTTATCCGATCATTCTACGCTTGCTGGATAGCAAATTTGACGAAATGCCCCAGAAGATGCTGTAGTAAACGAAAGTACTTGGCAAGATTTAATTGCTAAAATTATGCTCGATATTTGCCTTTCATTTTCAAAGTTCATGTTATTCATCTTCAACCTATATCAATCAAATAATTATTTTTTAAAATCGCCCCCGAAGGGCAGAAACTATTAGTCGTGTAAGAGAAAACTATGTCCAAAATTGGACAGCAAGGCTTTATAGATAGATAGAATGTATATGTAAATTCCAAGCCCCAAGTTTTAATTTGCCTAGACGGCAACCCCGTCAGCCCTAGGCAAAGTCGTTACAACTTTATTTTTTATGTTTCCATAAAAATGGAATAATAATTGGTTTCAATAAAAACGTGTGTAGAGATTTCGTGTAATAAGTTATTTCTTCACTCTATCAACTATTTACCACCACTATTAACCAGCGACAAATCCATTTAAGTCAACAATTGAAACAAAGTTGAATAAAATATGAATAAGAATGGATGGAAAACCTACTCATGAGTCAATGAGTGTAGTGTGTATGGAGAGAATGGTAAAAATTAAATTTATGAAAGAGATGTACTTACTTCGTTCCTCTCTCGTTTCTTCAATGGTTTCGAACCCGTCGGTTCCATTTTGATGTAAAGCTGGATGGTTATTGAATAAATTAGCCACGAAGGCTAAATTTAACTTGTAAACTCCGTTGACGACATCCTGAGGAGTAACGAAAGCTCTGCATTTTAGTTTAGCAGCCTGCTGTAACATAATCTCGGCTCTGCTGATTAAATCCTTTTCATAGAGAGCTTCAGTAGTAACATCAATATCTGCAGGAGCAATCTGTTTAAGAAGATGAGTGTAAACTTCAGAATCTACAATATCGCTCTGGAAATTGGTAACACGACGATGTGTTCCAGCCCTTTCTAAATGGTAATTCACCCATCGCAACAAGATAGCTTCTGGAGATAATTTCATCAAATCGTCAATCTTTTCATCATCAGAGAGCAAGGTCGTCAATCCTGGGCAATGCTCTAATGTGATCTGGTTAAAAAGACCTATTCTGATTATTTGCCAAAGAAGTCCTAATACTAAGTGAGGTGTTCCTTTTGACAAGTTGTGTGCGTCTATGTTAATAACGTTACAACCAATTGCAGAGGCAGAAGATAAGGCGAGTGTGAGGTTTTCCAGTTTTGTGTATAGTGTCAGTTTTTCTTTGTTTATTGCTCTTTCGTCAATTGTATCTGGACATGAATGGTTTATTACTTTGCTAAAATAAAAAATATTCTGTTAAAATGTAAATATTTAAAAATGTCTGTAATACATGAGCTAGCTTAAACGAAATTTAAGAAAAAGTATACTTAAGCCAATTCTAATAAGCAGTTCTTTAGTATATCAACTACTATGGTATTTAGTTATTAAAAGTACTTTAGATTAACACTGCCTGGGGTGATTGCGGTGGATTGAGTAACTCTGCGGTTACCACAGCCGGTCCAAAGTCCGGATAAAATGTGGAGGTGATTGGCAAGGTTAGCAACCTACCAATCGTAAAATCAAATACTGCTCAAAGAAACAATGTACAGCCTCGGAACCGGATTGATACTAAGGACAAGCGAAAAACATCCAAAACCCAGATGAGAATTACTACTTGGAATATCAGATCACTAAACTCAAGAGACCAAGAAATAACCCAAGTGCTGAAAAAGAAAGAAATAGACATTTGTGCTCTACAGGAAACAAAAAAGAAAGGAAAAGCTCAATCAAAATTTCGTGAATACATACTAATCTACAGTGGAGTAGCGAAACCTTATTAATACACCAAAGGTACCAAAATCACAAGCCTCAAACAACAAGGGAAGCGTTTTAGGACCAATTACAAAAGTAGTAGATCAAGTCAGAGGAAAGATGATAATATTGTGGGATTTAACGCTCGAATAGGCAACCAAGTGATACCCGGCATCAAACAAAAACAAAACGAGAATGTTAAAAACGAAAATGAAGAACTGATGATCAACTTCTGCACGAATAACGAACTAAGAATAAACAACATATTTTTTGACCACAAAGACTGACACAAATATACAATTAATAACACTCGTGGACAAAGATCTATGATAGATTATATTATAACCAACCATCAAATCAAAGAGATATACATCCATCAAAAATAATCGACGTAAGATGCCTCAACTCAGCAGATGTAGGTAGCACCATAGCCTAGTATTATGTAAAATAAGAATAATCCTGAAATACTTCCCACCCAAGAGACAGCGTCAACACAAACAAAAATCAAAGTCGAAGGACTAAATACGGAATCGACGGAATACTTATACAGGAAAAGAATATCAGAGAAGATTGTTGGGAATGAAATATTAGAAAACGATAACATCGAGAAAAGCTGGGAAAACTCAAAAATAATATAATTAACGCAGAAACAGGATCACTTGGAGAGAGGAAAGTAACGAACACTAACATATCAAAAAAGAAAACACCATGGTTTAGAGAGGAAGTGAAGACAAAATGCGAAGAAAAGAAGAAAACCTTACATGGGTAGTCATCAGACTAATAATGATATACGCGGCAGTAACAAGACCTGACACAGAGAGGACAAAAAGGATGTTAGAAACAGCAGAGATGAAAACACTTAGAAAGATTGGTAGTAAATCATTATGGGACAGAGCTAGAAGTAGGTACAGATATACGACATAGATGCAAGGTGGAGAACATCAAAACATCTATATTAAGTTTTAAATTATCAATTGGTTCAATATAAAATGGCTTCAGACTTCTTTTTTGAAATTGCGAAAGCAAATGTAGTACCTTGATGTTAATTAAACTTTGAATATATTTATTTAGTATAGAGTAGACAAAATTTGGCAAAATTTTTGAATAACCACTAATTTTTTTCTTATTTAATGTTTTCAAATGATTATCAATACAAAAGTAACAATCATGAGTTATCTCTGGTTTAGGACATTCAAATTATATATACTTACCACAGCAAAATACCATCCTTAACTTTCTCGTAGAGGTTTCTACCTTCTGAGTCAATCGGCAAGAGTTTTCTTAAGTCAGGATCATGTTGTAAGTTTGAATTGATCCAGTCAGAAAACGCTAATTGTTCTTCAACTCTGACTGAATGGGTTGTACCTTCGTTCGACGCTTCAGAAGTCCCTCCAAGATGCTGCAGGTTTTCTCTTTTTGATACAGCAGTTCGGAATGTGTTAGCTACTTCATTAGCCTTGAGATCACAGATAAGTTTTTCGAATTCATCAAATGTCAGTTTACCGTTTATTTTTGATTTATTGGAATTTTTGAACTCCTCTTCGATAAGGCGTGATTGGTAACCAGCTATCTTCAGACCACATAATTCTAAAGCTTCTCTTAGTTCCTTTAAGTCTATGTGCCCATCTCCGTTTTTGTCAATCTGTAACAAAGTGTAAAGGAGTTAAAGCTTATTATAAGAAAAGCTACATTTTAGCTACATAGAGCTACTAATTTGTATTTGGCGAACAAGATATACAAACATATGGTTTAATGCCGAAGATTGCAATGAAAAATACTTCAGTGATATCACTCCGGGGTTAACAAGGATTCTGAAAAGTGTTGAAAATAGCTTTGGTAATAATAATTAACAATATTAAACTTAATGTGGCTTGTAGATCAACCCTAACAATTAATAATTTTTATTTCTGAGATCAAAGATAAGTCTCCTATAGATATGCTTAGTAACATTGTCTACAACATTCCATGCCTCTCTTGCAACAATTCCTACATCGGCCAAACCTCCATTATTGAAATCACGTATCACATTGGTCATCTCATGCACTATACTAATACTACAATTCTCCACTGTGAAAACAATACATATAAAAGATAGTTCATTGAAATGTCATATATTTCCCTTAACGATTTTTCCATCAATGTTAAGATTGACATTAAGAATTTAAGCAATATACCCCACTTCTTACTTAAATCCGATACCAAGAACAATACAACATCACAGAGAACTAACTTGACTGATATGTCCATTAACAACTAAGCTACTTAAATAATAATTTTCATTAATTAAAAAAGATAACATTCCCTTGTTTTCTTAGATACATCTCAAGAAGATATTATAATAATACATGAACAATATAGTTTTCAACCCTAAAAATTAAAATGTAACCAACTACATAAGTCAAATTTTGAAATATAACATAAATTCAAATTTACATGCAAATCAGTGCAAGCAAGATATTCAATGACATTGTTTTAATTATAACTATTCTAGGGGTGAGATTTAGGGGTTAAACTATAATAAAATTGTAAATGATGTTGTTTTATGTTGATTGACATTCATTCACTCACTTAAAAGATAATTTTAATCAATTACCAGCTTTAATTTATAATTATACGTTTTTTTTCTAATAGGGATAGTTTTCATCCCTAAAAAATAAAAAGCAACCAACGCACAAGTCCAAAAGTGAAGTGGAGGGTAAGTAGAATCTAAATACAAATTTTCATGCAATTCGGTGGGACGGAAAATTACGCGGTATTTAGGCATTTTACTATCACGTATCTCTTTTAAACTTTTTTTTTAGTTCTCAAACCTACAGTAGTTTTAAAAATATATCATCTAATTGAACTATATGAATTATTATTATAATAATTTACTTTTTAACTTTCCTCGTCTTCTTCTATTGATACATTTTTGCTACTCGAATCACTGTTGTTGTCGATGTATTCCCGTATACATAGTTACAAAACTTGTTTATTGGATTCTTATTATTATAATGTTCTTTCTCATATCTCCAGGTTATAAATTCCCATTATTCCTGGACGTAAGTTTGGTCGCTAAAAGATAACGACATCGACCTGGTCGCTCTACAGGAAACACACTGCGAAACGGAAGAAAAACTGCAAAAAAGGGGAAAATACGTGGCTTCGATCTACTGGGTGGTACGTATCATCGATCATACGCACAGCAACGAACGTTAAACAAAACATAGAAAACGCCGTCCTTGTTTCCACATGTACTGATGATGAGATTCACAATGTTGGTGTAAAAATTGGAAGCATCACCGTTGCTAATACCTATAAACCACCGCTATATCCTGCCAGCTAAGTCATTGACACACATCCGCACCCGTCAATATATTTGGGGACTACCACAGTCACCATATCAGTGAAAATCACTATCACTAAAGTTTGACGCCAAAGAGCGACCTACATTCATGTCAGCAGCATGAAAGAAGGAGTACAATCCTGACTTATGTTTTGTCTCTACTAATAAAAACGGGCAACCCTCTATCAGTCTCTCGAAAAGTAATGGAAGACTTCCCACACAGCCAACACCGCCCAGTGATCGTAGAGGCGGGAACCCAAATTCCTATAATCACATCCCTCCCTTGTCCACGTTGGAATCTAAAGAAAGCTATTTGGGGTAGTTTTTCTGCGGAACTGGACAAGACTCTAGGCTGGATACCCCCTACTATCAGAAATTACAAAAGATTCGTTGGAGCCGTAATAAGCACGGCCCAAAATCATATACCAAGAGGCTACCGAAAAGAATACATTCCTGGTTGTTCCCATAACAGCGAAGAACTGTACCAAAATTTCCTTGAAAGCGGCGATCAAGAATTAGCCGATGAACTGCTCCATAGCCTAGATGCAGCGAGACAACAAAAATGGACGGAAACATAGAAAGTCTTAATTTTTAAACATCAAGTAGGCAAGCATGAACACTACTAAGAACATTAGGAAGCGGAACTCCCATAATAAGGAACAAAACAACAATTAACCCAAACACTATTGCCTCACATCTGGTATCGACATCTCGGACCCCGAAAGACAAGCCATACACAATCAAGGTAAAACGAGAGCTCAAAACTTTAAAATTCCAATCTGCAGAAACCGAATACTCTCGGCCTTCCACTTGCGAAGAAGTCACTATAGCTCTCAAGGATGTAAAGTCAGGTAAAGCCCCAGGTTTTGACAATATTCATCCCGAATTCTTCCATACGACATTCAATACCACAGGAACTCATAAGCTCAAAGATCATTGCCATATTAAAACCAGAGAAACCAAATGATACCAACCCTAAGAACTACAGACCAATAGCCATACTATCGGCAACATTCAAGCTACTAGAACGACTTATCTATAACAAAATTAGTCCAAAGCTACTTGAATCGATACCGGTTGATCAGGCAGTTTCCGACCGAAAAGAAGCTGCTCAGATCAGTTCTTTCACTTACCACATTTATTTAGGCAGGGTTCCAGAGAAAACTTAAAACTGCAGCCGCATTCATAGACCTAACAGCGGCCTACGATACAGTCTGGAGAGAAGGCATGATATACAAGCTCCTCCGTACAATCTCCTGTAAATCCACCGCTCGAATAATCAACAGCATGCTAGCCGACCGAACGATTCAATTACGTCATGGGAACCGACATCAGCACCCCAAGAAAACTGAAGAATGGACTGCCTCAGGGATCTGTCCTAGCTCCTCTTCTCTTTAGCCTGTACATCGCTGATATACCAGAAACCAGATGAAGGAAGTTTGGTTACGCTGGTAGTCCTTGCAACAAGGTGTAAGTCAATTGAACAAACAGAAGAAATCCTTATGGCTTACTTACACACAGTGGGAAAGTATTTCCGTAAATGGAGGCTCCAACCAAACGCTACCAAAACAAGAGTTTCCAGTTTTCATCTAAATAACAAGCTTGCAGGAAGAACACTGAACGTCCAATTCGAAAACACCACACTGGCCATAAAACACCAAAGTACCTGGGGTGACTCTTGATAGAACCCTATCTTTCAAGGAACATCTGTAAAAACAGCGGAAAACTTAAATCCAGAAAAAACATCATCCAGAAGCTGTGCGGAACAACATGGGGAGCATTCGGCTTCCACCTTGCGATCATCTGCCCTGGGGCTGTCTTCTCAACCGCGGAATACTGCTCTTCAGCCTGGCTTAATATCCACATACACACAAAGTAGATGCCCAATTGAACAATACAATGAGAATGATTGCTGATGTTATCAAATCCACCCCTACGCAATGGCTCCCAGTCCTGAGCCACATTCCACCACCCAGACTACGGCGTATACACTCCCTCACTAGTGAGTACCAAAGATACTTAGCAACGAGACCCTGCCAATTTATCAAGATATAGACGCTGCCAACGGTAACCGTTTACGCTCCAGACGACCGCCAATAAAAACATCACAAATTGCAGTGGAAAATGAGTTCAACTTAACGACCACTTGGACTCGAGAATGGATGGAACAACAAAATAGCAGCTTACCCTGCATCACACAAAAACCACCAGGATTTGACTTACCACGCAACACAGTGACTATGTTGAACCGAATCAGAATAAAACATTGCAGATGCGCTTATATGAGCACAAATGACTGTGGACAATCACAAACCATCTGTCCAAATTACAGAATAGTGTACCACGAGATCCTATCAAGACAGTCAGAGGATTCCTAATGAAGACTCCAGAGTCGATAGAATATAATAAATAAGTTAGATGTTCGTTTGTAAACATATGTAAAGGTTTTATACACAATTATGTAAATTTAAATGTAAATGTATCAGGTGCCATACGATAAATAAAAATAAGTTTACATTTCATGATGGATTCTCCTGTACTTTTGTTTCTTTTATATATTCTGTCGTTATTCTGAGAAATTGAATTAAAATTAAAATTTGTGTAGTGTAGTACAAATTTGGTCAATCACTAATTTGCGTATGCAAACTATATCTAATTTATTTTTAAGGCAGGCTCTTAATAAATATTGAGTATATCTGTTATCTATTATGACTATTTTAAACAAGCACAAACAAAATTTATTCAATAAGGAGTACTCATACCCGTATAACGTAATTAACAAACAATCTTCAAAATAATACTATGATCTAAGACAAAAAATTATTACAGTAGATGACATCAGTCAAAGTGATTTATATACCAGAGGCCGCAACAAGTTATTTCTATTGTAATCATGTGTATTCAATCAAATGATGTCGTATATTTTAATCCGCCATACTATTTTTATTCCATTTATCTATTGCTTCTTATCAATTCGACAAAAATCGGTTATCAGACAAAAATTCCAATATATCAACTACAGTCATATCTACCTTTTTTTTATTTTTGTTTTAATCTATATTTATATTTGTAAAATGTGTTAATATATAAACATTGCTACAAACCACAAGTATGTATATCCTAAACTTCAAAAACCAACAGGACATATAGACAATATATTTCAATAAAGGTAATATGAAGTATAAATAATTTTTTTCTACTCCTCGCGTCATTGATCAGCTGTTACATTATATTACTGTAGGGATAAGGCAACGTTGCCTAATAAGTCTGATAGTGAAAGGTTGTAGTAAATTGTTTAAACGACGAAAAAGGAAATT